ATAGCAATTCAATGCCGCAATTCCATCGACTGGAAGGTAATTGACACAAGAACAGAAATGACATGTCAGTAATGTTTTCCCCGATTTACTCCTTGTCACGTTAAACCATGAGCGTAAATCGTGGTGGATGGGGGTAATGTATCCCCTTTTTGAGGTAGGTGGGCTTTTGAATCATCACCCACTTTGTTGCGGTGAGTAAAAATGTTAATGCGGAGAGTGAAGAATTTTCCAGACTTTTAACGACTTATCTGCATTCAACATCACTCAAAGACGAAAGCCAAATTTTAAAAGCCATAAATGTGCCATTCTGGATGCATATTACATATGTATATCAATATCATAAACATCGACTGTTATAAGAGTCAAACGGTGTCCCCAACCCCCACCCCCACTTTTCATCTTTCATTCATTTCATTTTCATTTATTTATTTTGCAGGAATAAAACACAGAAAATTTACATAGTTTACAACATTAGTAAATAATATGTAGGCTCAAAAATATAGTTTTCATTAAGAATCTATATCATTAAAAAAAAAATCAAACAAACAAACAAACGAACACAAACGAAATACACTAACAAAAACTTAAAAACAGTAGCACAAGCAACAGCACCACACCCACAAGACACAAAACACATGTATTACCCCTGCAGGATTAATTACTATTGAGTTGCTCTCCTGGTGCTACAAACTGACCAAAAACAAAACATTACAGAACAAAAAAGGATAGCAAACAGAAAAACAGAAAATGAACAAACAACGTATTAAATTACCGTAAAAAACCACAACAAACAGACGAACCAACAAACAACCAACCAATCAGACAGACACCCTACAAACAAGACACCAATACCCAACAACCCAACAAACAAACAAACAACAAACAAACACCCCAACACCCCAACAACCCAACAAACAAACAAACAAACACAGGGTAATAATTAATCTCTGTCTCATCTAAGTGAGCACCTACCCTGACTGCAAAAAGCACACAAACATGTACTAAAAACAACGGATCAACAAAAACAAAAACTTCAACAACCACAACCACATCATCCACAACAACCACAACAAGAACAACAATGAAAAAAAAATGCAAACAACACAAATACTAGAAACAAATATCAACCAAGCAACAGTTATAGCATCATATAAAAATACATGCTTAACAACATTACACAGTTTACCCTGGTCTCCCAGAAGATATATATTGAGCATGAAAATTGAAAAAGAAATAGACCAAACTGAGTTAAAGATACCTGTAAGAATGGCAGCTTACAACCAAATTCATTACAAACTATTCAACCCCCATCAGCAAAATAAGTTAAACATGTATCAATAAACTCTACACAGATAAGACTTGAACTTTTTATGGTGAAAAAAACTACATTAACGAAACGATTGCGGCCACACCATGGACCAATCTCCCACTCGAGCATGCGCGGCCCCGAGAAGAACCGGGGAACAACTCGACGCCCCGAACAGTGCACTCCGTCCGTCCTCAGTCTCCTGAACAAAGAAGGAGCACACTGCCAAAAACGCCAAGCCACCCCCGGCCCCCCAGAACCACACACACGCAAGAAAGAGACCGATCCACCGTGCAACTGCAATCGCTTTACTCAAACTCTTTCCGTAAGAGTAACTCTAGAACCAGGCATCAAAAGATGTTTCGGAAGCGACTTTATGAATGAGGATAATCCAAAAACAAGTGCATCTTTGACACACCTTGGCAATTACTCCCATAATCTAGGAAATCTGTGAAATAGAGAATAATGAGCAGCAATAGGCCCTCGCCCCCTGGTGGTGAAATTTAACACTATCAGTATGTCTAGGATTAACAGCAAGGTAATCACCGATAGGAATGTCGAATTTGTTGCACAGACACTTTACAACAAACACAACCGAGAGAAAATGAAGTCTATTATTTAAAAGAGGTAAATCTAACCAAATACACCTGTCAGCATAATCTATTTCATTGTCATGATTATGAGTAATTCTTCTAGGGAGACCGAGGCAATATCGAGTAAAACGCCTCTGAATCTTTTCCAACGTGTCCGGCTGAGTGACAAGAGCAGGGCGCCAGACTGGTGCTGCATATTCTAGTAAAGGTCTGCTAATGGAACGATAGTGGGTTGTGAGGATTTTAGGGTCCCTGGATTTAGCAACTCTGCCAATAAAACCATTAAGGCTAGTAGCTCTAGACGTATTATACAGTTAAAATGTTGCTTCCAACTTAGATCCCTTGAAATAATGACACCGAGGTATTTATAATTATCAACTCTTTCCAAAACATGATCACCAATCCTATACCCTGGCCTGGGGGGATTTTTAGAACGAGTCATCGTCATGAGTTTACGCTTGTTGGGATCTAAATCCATATTATTAAGATTACACTACGTGTGTATATGCTGCAGGTTACTCTGGAGAGCCCACTCGTCCTGGTATTTTATGACCCTGTACAAAACTGTATCATCAACATAGTGCCGAAGATCAGACTGAACACAAAATGACAGATCAAAAACAAAGATGTTAAACAGCAAAGGCCCAAGGACAGGTTTCGAGTCAACTCGGACCCAAACCAACTCGGACCCGAGGTGGGTCCGAAAC